TCCAAAGGAATACTGACAATGGATTGCCATTGATAAGGAACAGCTGATCCTCCTGGAACAGGGACCTCTGGCTGACTAGATTTACCAGAAGGGCAGATGGGGGGAATGGATGGGGGTGCTGACAGCACAGTGGGCAGTGGCAGGGATAGCAGAGTATGGAGGCTCTAGTGGGAGAGGAACGCTGTCTATCTGACGAGTTTGTATTCATGCTCAGATGCCGAGGAGCTCAGAAGGTGTGTGACTGTGACCAGTGATAGTCATGTGTATAGAGATTAGAAATGCATGTGAAAACGTCTCAATGGCAATTGCTTTGGAATGAAATCTTCTGTATGAAAAAAAAAATTAATTTAAAAAATAATGATTAAAAAAAAAAGTAAATACAGTACCAACCTGTACATCAATTTCAGAGCAGGAAGTTGAAGGTTGATTTGAAGCTCAAAATTTTGTTAGGAGTCTCATCTACCTGTATACACATTATACAACCTCTTGAAGCCTAAAATTAACTACAGAAGAATGGGACTAAACTAGATCATCACTAAGATTCTTTTCAAACGTAACTCCTCAGAAGTATCAACCTTTTGGCATTGCCATGACTTTGTCATCTATAAATGTGTTGGGCCACATTCACAGCTACCCCGGGACACACCTGGAATGTCATTCTATCAATCCCATTATATCTTGTAGGGGTTTTGTTGATTTATCAAATATTTACTATGCACCAATTGTGTATCTGAAATATTTACTTCATAGGTTTACATTTTGTTTGTCCTATTGGTATATTAGAACGAGTGGTTGAAGTGTAAGCTGAGACTTAACAGGGTAAACAGAAGTAATTAAGTGGCTTATTTCATTTATGTAATAGTCTAAACTCTCCACATTTCCTACTGCCTAGTAAGAAAGTTATTAAAAATACTTTGGCTAATGAGAATTTACTAGACCTGCCATTTTTACAATACTCTTTAGTTAGAGCTAATTACTAAGGTATTTATGTACTATTTTTGGATAATACAAATAAAGAAGTGCCCTGAAAGTCAAAAGGTACTGATAAACTCAGCTTGGTTAGGGAACAGAAACTCAGTCCAATTTCTAATGTTAATACACAGCTGAGTAACCGTGCTGATCCGGCCTTGTCAACTTTTAATCCTTCTGAATGATGAAAAGTATGAGACATCTGTTTAAGTACAGGCTGATGGTTGGGCTTTCTTATTTTCACTTTTCCTTGCGGAAATGCACAAAATTCACCAAATATCTGATACACACAACCTAGGGAAGGGGTGTTTACGATATTATCACAAAATTATATCCCAGAAGGAAGCTTAAAGAACAAATGACACACAAGTAACACAAGGCAGAATTCTGTGGCATAGTAGTCAAATTTTCAGGTACTTCATAGTTGTTTCCTGTTAAAGGTACCTAAGACTGAAAGTTAAAACAAAAAATAAAAGGAGCACAAAGGAGAGAGTTTCATGACACAAAGCAGGTGCTAGCTATTAAGTTGATAGTTTTCACTTACTCATCTCAAAAACTGCACACATGAACACCCCCTAAAAAGAGACCGTCTACAATGGAGAAGCCCAAGCCCCTTCATAAAATCTTTCCAACAGTCTGAGTTATGTCTTCTAAAGCAAAGGTACTACTGATGTAATCGTTTTGCTTAGACTCTTGCTATGTGGAAATAGGAGGGGTCTGAGGTCACCTAAGCAACGCATCCATCCTCTGTGTAACTCACACCAGGCAAGATAAGGGCTTCTTCATTAAGGTGGTATTTGTAAGTAGAATCAGGATCAAACTCAACAAGGCAACCACCTCCCTACTCTGCCGGCAACTACCCAGCGAAATTTAATGACTCATTGGTAACTCCACTAAGTTACCGAGCATGGTCTACCGGCACTTTTACCAAAATTAATCTTTTTAAAAAGCCGATTCATCAAATGGCCCACCCAGGCTCTAAAGAACAATGGGTCACTCACTCACTTTCCCATGGACCATTTTCTGAAACTTGCGGGCACGTTTTGCGTGTTTCCCTCATCACTCTCCCCACAGAAGACCCCAGCCGCAGGGCCGCGCGGAGGTCGTGAGGAAGCCGTCCAGGCAGAGGAGAGTCCTCCGAGACGCCTCGCGCGGACCAGCCCTGGGCTCCGGGACCCGCGCCCCTCAGCGGCGCGAGGGCGGAGGATGAGTGTGCACTATCGCGCCGCGGCGGCCGGTTCCGAGCGCCGGCCCGGGACCGTTACCAGCCGCCCCTCCCCCCAGACGGCCTGGAGCCGGCGGAGCTGCGCGGCTCGAGCCTGAGGCGGGCCACACAATGCCGCGGGTCCGCGCGAGGACCAGGCCGCGCCGCAGGCCACGAGCCACAGCCCGCCGGAGCCGAGCCGGTTCCTCAGGAGACCCGAGGCCGCGGTGTCCCCGACCGTACCTGGCTCCAGGTGATGAACTCGTTGGTGTGGGTTTCCTCCACCAGGGTCCACAGCTTGCTGAGGAAAGCCGGCACGTTGGAACTCTGCTTCATTGTTAACCGGGAGCAGGGATTCTGAATTCTACACCCGAACGCCGAGGTTCCGGCGGCTGCGGCAGCTGCTCGCTAGAACGCCCACCACGCAGGCGCGGAGGATGCCGGCCCCGCCCCCTTGGTCCTCAGGGCCCACAACGAGACTGGAAGACCCGGCTGCCTCGCGTGACGAACAGGGCTCTGCGCAGCACCCATGCGCGCTGCTCGCGCGCCGACCCTCTTCCTGTCCAATCCCAGGCCGCGGACGCACCATGGGGCAGTGCTATTGGCTGCTGCTGGCGTGGAGGGGTGGGAGCACGAGGGGGCGGTGCCTGGGCTTTTGCCCTTTAGCGGGTCGTCGCGGAGGCGACCTAGGAAACTATGTTTAGTGGTTTCACATGGAAACGGCTTTGGGCTCTTGGGCTGTGGTTGGCAGAGTACAAAAGCTCCCGGGGGCCGTTGACTCACGAGTTTGGCGAGCGAAGTGTAATTTGCTCCAGTATAAAGGAAGGAGTGTAAATCACACCGGCAGGGAGCAGCTTGCCAACACGATGAGCTCTAGGGCCCAGGTCGAAACTGTCTTAAAAATAATGAACTTTGTTTGAAGTTTTCCATTGGGAGAAAATGGCTCATTTAAAACACGTTTGTTAGAAACTGAAGTTTAAAGATTAGCTCACCGTTTACTAAGTACTTACTATCACACATGCAACTATAGACTGGGAATTAAGAGTTGTTTGGAATTCAGACATCGAGTGCCTGTTAATGTACCCAACTCAAAAGCAATTAGTCTAGTTTATACAACTTTGGTCGAAGTAACTGTTCCTACATGTACTTTACAGATGTAGTCTCATTTGTATGAAACAGTTTTGTATGTAGTGAAAAAACAAAACCTTGTGGATACTAGTTTGTATTAAATTACATTGGTACTATATGATTTGGAACTATCAGCACCATTTTTCCCCATCTTGTCATTGGGAATAAGACTTTACCTATTAAAAGTCCCTATGATAGGACCTGTGAAAATGATTTGAAAATTCTAAAAAAAAGTAAACTCGTTTTATGAAAAGCACCTGAAAGATCTGAAAACATAATAATTATCACTTCATAAACAATGTGACAGAGTTCATTTACTGCCTGGTTATGTGTAAATCAGTACATTTAAAGTAAAACAGCTGTGACTGGTGATGCTTGTCTGTAATTCCAGCACTCTAGAGGCTGTGGCAGAATGACAGAGGCCAGCCTGGAATTGTAATGAGCTCCAGGGCGTCCTGGACTGTAGTGCAAGACCCTGTCTCAAAAAAGCAAATGAACCCCTTGTGGTGGTACAGGCCTAGGAGGCAGAGACAGGTGGATATCTGTGAGTTCAAGGCCAGCCTGGTCTACATAGTGAGTTCCAGGCCAACTGAGGCTACAGGGAGACTCTGTCTCAAAAAGACCAAAAATAAAAAAATAATAAATAAACAAATACAAATAAACCTACAAATGTGTGTGTGTGTGTGTGTGTGTGTGTGTGTGTGTTTCAGGGAGCATTGATTGAGTATAGTCCTGTATACAACACTATTTGCTACAATAAAATTGGATATGGGGCAGTATAATTTTGATAAAGGAATTAATATTTGATAAGCTATACATATATTAAGAAGCGGCTTCATCGGGTCTGACTCCCAGTACTATAAATTCAATATAAATCTTTTTTGTTTACAAATGAAAACATTAAAGGGACAGGGGCTTAGGACTACCTCAAATTAAAGGCATATGGCTGAGGAGTTGTTAGTATTGAGCAAATATCAGATCCTTGGAAAGGCCAGATGTTAACGGAACGTCATTAAAGTTCAAGTTTGAGGTCATTTGTGGCTTTGTGTCCTTTGAGAGAGTGGTAAAATGCTTCAGGACCTTGGGTAGGAACTTGAGCAAGTGGACTAGCTAGAAGACCAGGCACTTTAAAAAATTTCAGGAGGGCCCAACAGGCTCCTTTTTCCTAAGGCCACAACTTGAATGTGGCAGACACTACCAAAAGGAGCTGAGGTAGAAAATGTATTAGCATCACTTGCAGCAGACTTGGGCCAAAACTGTACTACCTTAAAATTCCATATTGTGCTGAATTTATTAGGCTCCAACCAATCTCACAATTAGAGTGATGAAGTACTCTAGGTTTCTACAGGGCTATTTCTAGCTTTAATTTTGAAAGCCCCAGGCAAGCCAGGATGATTAGTCACCTCAGCTCTAGGCTCATCTAGTTATTGATGCTGGACAGGAAGCAAAAGCTTGGCAGGTTAAGCAAAATATTGTATAGTACCTAGTGTGGCTAGGAGATCCAGCCTTTCTGAAAGCAAAAATGCAAGTATTCTTTGACAGGCACTCCAGTAACCAGCAGATAGAGGGATCTCTTACTCAAAGTTCTGATGGTTTGCTGATAAGAAAGAAAGCAGGACTAGACAAAATGTAAAGACCTGGGAATATTAGAAAGATGTAGTTGATGAGTGAAATGGCCTGCAATAGAAGCCTTCTGTTATTTTTACCAGCATAGAATTATAGTGAAGCTGCAGTAGCCCTTCTCCTCACTCTAAGTAGAGGCAGTGCTAAAGGTAAATGGTGTTTTAGTTCATCTTCCTAAATAATGGTATTTATCACTTGATGATGGGGATATTAAATGAGATATATATGGTTTGAATTCAGAAGTATATTCCTAGTTTGAATACTGGATTAAAATGCAGATATTGGCTTCCTGGGGGCCGTAACCACTGCTACAGATGTGTCATGAGCTGAGAGATACTTGTGGAGAGGTAGGTATATTGGCGGTTCAGCCAAATATAATGAGGAGTACTCACGTGCTAGCTATAGAGAAAGGTTTCCTTTCTACTCTGTGTTCACAGTGTGATATGCTACAGTTTAGAGCAAATAAAGGCCCAAGCTCTTTCCTTGAAAAGGCATCCTGGGGTAGAATTGCATAACCTTCCAAATCACATTTGGTATTGTTTGAATCACGACCTTACAGGGCATGAGAAATAATTGCTAATTGATAGCAGAAATCTTAATTTTTATACCCCAAACATACAGTTATTGTTATATTTGCTATAATTTGCTGTAAAACACCATTTAAACAGTATTGTATAGTGTAATAGATCATTACAATCTGTATGCTAGGGGTAGTAAGTGAACACTTGAAATATTCCAATGAGAAATGTGTAATTTTGTGGTAGTTAGCGTTGGACAGACCTCTCAAATGTCAACTATCCAAAAGCTTTAATTTTCTTTTTTAACCAACACCAAAAGTTTCATTAATTAGGATAATGGATATGGAAATTAATTACAATTTTTTGGTAATATAAATGAAGTTCAGAATATGAATATTAATTTAAAACAGTGTTCTCTTCTAAACTCTTGACCCAACTGGGTACCAAAATATATTTAGTGACAACCTGTGATCTTTGGCAGGTTCTCTTAGATTCTGCTGAAGGATTTGAGTGGCTTAAGGCTAACGCAAAATATAGAGAGTCACATGTCATTTTGAGTACTTAGAGATCACAAATCAAATTAGCCAACTGTTAAAATATGTCCTATTCTTTACCTTGACAAATGCATGTTTGTAATAACAAAACTAAAAGATGTATAATGTCATAGTTTTTATAAAAGTTGTGGATTAGTTAGATTTTTTTGCTGTGATAAAATATCATGACCAAAACAACTTATAGAAGTAAATTCACATGGGCTCACCATTCTAGAGGGGTCAGAGTCCATCATGGTGGGAAGGCATGGCAGCAGGAGCAGGATCGTATCTTCAATCACACAAAGAGAGAACAAACTGGAAGTCGGACAAGGCTATAAAATTTCAAGGCCCATTCCCTGTGGCATACTTCCTCCAACAAGCCTCCATCCCCTCAACATTCCATATCCGTCCCAACCAACGCCATCACCTGGGGAATAAACGTTCAAGTTCCTGAGCCTACAGGGGCCATTTTTCATCCAAACTACCACAATTAGTTTAGGAAGGTAGAGATATGATTTAGTGGTAGGATGCTTACCTGGTTTCCATCCCCAACATGGGAAAGGAGACATTATTGTCTGGGGTTTTGTTGATAGAATAGTGATGTTTTACATGATTAATAAAATAAAATATTGACTTACAACTTTTTTTTTTGAGACAGGCTATTGTTATGTAGCTCTAACAGACTTGGAACTGATATAGACCAAGGTGGCTTTGAACTTGTGATCCTCTTGCTTTAGTTTCCCAAGTGCTGGGATTACAGGTATGTCCCACCACATCTGTCTATGACATATAATTATTAAGTCGTATGTTCATTCCCTAAATTTATTCTTTTCTTGACTTTATTTCAGTAAAGTCACTGGTTGGTTTGTGCTCAGTAAAATTGTCATATAATATGTATTTTGTTGGCAGTATTTATCGAACTGTTAAAAATATAATTATATTCAAAGCACACAAAACAAATGTGAATATGTTTTCTAAATTGTAATTTAAAATATTTAACATTTGAAAAATTATAAAGTTGTGCTGTTTTTAGATTATAAGAAAAATCAGAATGTGTTACAAAATGTAAAACTAAGTATAAATTCTGGTTATTAAATTTTAAATTTAAAATAAAATTATTCACATAAAATTGATACTTCAATTTTAATGTTTTGGAAATATAAATTGTATTAAATATTCAGAAAAGTGAATTCTTACCCTGCACTGAAGCAGCTTCAGTCTCTGTAAACTTTGCGTTCAAGGGTATAAGAGAATCAAGCTATTTTCCTGGAACCCTTAGTTACTGGAGTGGTATTGAATGTTATAGGTTGCTAACGCTGAGTGCTGGATCTTAAGTGATAGAGATGTCCATTTGTTTCCTAATACATTTTGTTACTTTATCTATTCGTTTACTCATTGTATGTGGCTATGATATTCCAGATTCTCTAACATTCTGGGCTCAAAGCAGAGACCCAGTTTTCCAAACTAGGAAAGTAATAGTGCTAAATTTTGCCAGCCGACATTTGTCCTGCAAGGTAGCCAAAACCTTGTTACAGTTGAACAGAAGCTACATACTTTACCAGTTCAGGCAATAAAGTGAATGACATTTGTGCTCCGTTGCAAACTTGTCTGTATGTGTGGAAAGATTCTAAGGCATATTCATAGTGACAGTCTACCTGTGTGTAAGA